CACAAAGAAGTTCACTGATTCTGTTCTAAACTTTTTGGTTTCGGCATTTCCATGATGTATCATTGTGAGGAAAAGATGTATAATAATAAGGTTATTACAAAGATATTGTAAAGTATGCATTCAGAGACTATTCCCTCGCATTGACCTCCGCTGCGTGTCAGTCGATACTCCTGTTATACAGTCGATACTCCTGTATGTCTTCGTGCATACTTTACAGAGTATCCTTGTAATAACCTCACATCCATGCATAAATTCTAAACTCAGTACTTACAAAGAACATAAAGGGGCTTTTGATGCATGTCCTTTTATATTTAATCCAATTCAAATTGACCCAGAATTTAATCATACCGTATTTATGCGGGTAAGAGCCCAGGGTCCTGAACATGGAAAATTGCCCAAAAATAGGTGCAAAAAAATGAAAATTCACAAAAATTTACAACACACAGATCAAACTGCGGCAGGGAATAGAGCGACAAATGAAAACATGCAACAGAAATAAATTAACAATTGAAGTAAAACAAAAAAATAATTTATTGCTTATAATGTGACAAATAAACCAGAAATAATAAAAATCAACAGTGAGGAATCATTTGAATTAGGATTTTCTCGCCGACAAACATGCCCAATACGCGTGAACTCTAAATGAACAAAAATTTTAGTGGTTAAACTGCATAAAATTATTTCTGGTCTTGACAAATTATGGATCAACTGTCATACAAGATCAATAGTAATTAAAACATTTACACAGTAAAAATTACGAAAGTTCATAGTTGTTTGAAAATACTTCTCAGATCTTTATTTGTACGTTCATTGTCAAAGTCGAACAAGCCCAAGTCGGCATCACTGTCGCCGTCAAACAAAATGCCTACAGCTTTGACTTGTAGATATCACTTTTGATCCACAGATTTTGCTGTCTGTCAGCTTGGCACTTTTCATTCATGTCTAATCACAATAAGAGACAGAAAAAATGTACAATACAGTACACCTTACTGAGTTGAGCTTATTAACTTAAGTGTACTGTACATTTGTTTGTCATTTTCTAGACAGTTCCTAGGCCTAATTTGGGCTTTGTACTTAAACACGTATTTCTGTAATAGCTATGGCTTAAAGCTAAAGGTGTTTCATTAAGCTTGGAAATTATAGACCCGAGTACTGTTGTCCATCTAGACTGGTAATGGACATAAGCAATGTCAACAGGCTTTTGTACTTTTTAGTGTGAATGTCATTTACATGATGTTATTAATGTATTTATTAAATACTAAATATCAAACTGATCAAGAAATTTTGTTGTCATTTATGCAGTGCCCCCCCCCCCCAGAAAAGATTAAAGAGCTCAAGGTAATTTGCATACTAATTAGCATGTAAGCGTAATGACTGTCTACCAGTCATCGTCCAGTCCAATGGTTGTCAAGTTAATGCAGTGGGGCGTCAATGAAGAG